GAAATCCGGCCAAGCTCTCTCCAAAATGGATCAACATCAATGTTTCATTTTCATGCTAGTCTTTATACTCTTTTCAGTTTTCTGCATATTGTAGGATAAATGAATTGGGATTGAAAATAATGAATATTGGAATATGTAATGGATTAGACGACAATTGGAAGTAAGTCCAACCTAGATCAAATTAAACCTTCATCCGATGAAATCAGATCATAAATCCACCGCTCGAACTAACCAGTGGCCAGTTGTCTAATTCAGAATGAAAGTATTTCTCCCATTCATGAAATCCAGTGAAACTTTCTCGAAATTATATTACCACAAAGTCTTCATCACCATGTTTTGATTTCATCTTCTGTGGCTTAAGCGCCACAAATAAATTTGGTTTCCCGCTAACAACTTCTCCTTTAACAAGTTCACCCCAAGAATACTTTAAACAATTAAACACATATCTGCTTTTATGGGATTGATGGGATAGGATTAATGGGATATAATAATTGGTGGTTGAATGAATCAGTGAATTAGGATATTTCTTTGTGGACAATAAAGAAGGAAAAGAAGTATCAATGAAGTTAAAAATATTTTTTTGCAACCTTATTCCTACTAATTTGGAAACAACACAAAAAAACATCTGACTTGAAAAAAGCCACTCGAAAAGCCTGATCCACGCTATGCCATCTTTTTTAAGCTTGAACTACCAGTCCTTTAGATTGACTTTCCCTTATTTTTAACATTGGGTCATGCTTTCATGGGAGTACTTGATCTAATAACGTGCTCTTAATAACGGACACTAAACGGCATTTAGAGCCCGACAAGATCGCCTACACATCTTGAAGTAAGTATCTCCACAATGAGACTTCTCTAAACCACGAGCACATCCAAGTGATATTGGTTCGATGAATTGAAGACTCCTCCAAATTGATAGCCTCTTGTGATAATTCCTTTTCCTTTTGGCCAGTATCTCTGCAACTATCTGAACAACGTAATACTTGTAATTACCTTGTCTTCTACAGCTTTGTCTACCAGTGGGTCTAAGTTGATAAGTATGATCAAACATCATAGTTTTCATTTCAACACACGTACCTGATAAAACTGCTCTCAAAGAAAACCTGATTTTCGATGGGCGAAGTATTCAATTTCTTTATTTTAGATGACATCTTACTTCTTGTTATTCTCATTCTTCATATTTCGGATTATTGGGGCCCAAAATTCATCCTCTTCTGCAATAAGAGAATTCTTTGTTGGTTTTCTCTGTACTGTTGTATTGAGTGGTTTTAGAAAAACTAGATTTATTTATAATTTTAAACATGTTTATTAAATATGCATTTTTTATCAAAGCATTGATTGGTATGTTATGGTTATAGACAGACCTCTGGTTTTCCATCCGCAAACTTCAGATTTTCAACATTGTAGCAACCGGGGAAGACATCCTCTTGCAAACCTATAAAAACAACGAAATTCCATGTATTTGCAGAAGCTTATCTCGATGACAAGCAGAACCGTCATTCTAAAGTTGTAGAAGTTCTACATCTATAGTAGAATTACATCCAATTTCTCTGGATTTGTTGAAGAAAGAAAAGTTGGTTGTAAAAAAAGCGAATCCTGAAATAAATACTTAGGCTCCACTTAAGTAGGAGCAACAACAACAAAAATGAATGCAATATGAAACAATATCACCGCTACTAGTTCATTTCCAAATAGGCTTGCATTCTTCTTCAAGAGCAACAATTTCAGACATCATACTCTTTTCTTCTTAATATTGATCAATGTTTGCATCAGCACTCAATTGTTCCTAATCTGGATCAGTAATCAGGTGGTGACGATTTGGCGACAAGTCTATGATTTGGCCCGATTGAGGAGTTATAATCTTGCTCATAGTTGAGTAAATGAAGAAGATAATTGTTTTCTAAATCACCTGATGTAGAGAATTTTTTGTTTTTCTGCAAATTAGGAGAAATATTGACAAGAAGAAGGCTCACGAAAAACAAACAAAGAAATGATTTTTTCCATTGATTTATCGAGCAAATTGATACAATTTCACTAGAATATGAACACTAGAAATCCCTATGAAATTGGAAGCACTTATATTTAAAAAGAAAGACTAAAGGCACGTAGCCATATATTTGCGTCTGTGTTGTTATTATAACTTAAATACGATACGTTATATGTTGGCTTAATATGTAATTGTTATGTTTTTGTGAGTATTCGTTTTTTCGTTTAACTCAAAAATTTGCAGCCAATTCCACAACAATTTTTATCGACAAAGATGAAGAAAAACAGAATAAATTTTACAATAAAATTTTATAAAATCCAATAAAAGTAATATCGTTAAGGGAAAATACTATGGAAATGATCAATTAATCTAGACCAAGGCGAACTGGACAATTATCAGGAAAAAAATAAGTATCCAAGTGTAAGCCAATGACGTGAAGTATAGACATGAGTTTGTGACAATGAGCCGCACGAACCCAAAAGAGGTAGAACACCAACAATTATATAGAAATTATATTATATTATTTATTGAATATACTAACTAATCGTATAAGAAATTCTATTAATTGATTTGGTTTACAAAACAAAATCTATTAATAATTGAATAATTAAAGATTAAACAACTAATCTTCCTAAACAAATTTATCAGTGCTGTGTTCAACTTGTTCAACAACCATCTTTTGTGGAGCAGAAGAAAGATGGGTTAAAGAAGTTTCTGGATCATCACCGAAAACCTTAGCAACTTCTTCTAAGGTGTAACCAGAAGTTTCAGGGTATAATAAGTAAACTAAGACTAATTCAACAGCAAGGACGCAACAGTAGACAATGTAGTACTTCCATTCAATTGCATCCATAGCAATTGGGTTAACGAAACCATTGAAAAGGACAATAACGTTGTTGGCAAGGAAGAAAATATTAATACCCTTGGCTCTATGGGAGTATGGTAAGATTTCAGTAACATATAACATTGGTAAACCATTAGCACCTAAATCGTAAGCACCGTAGAAAAGGAAGATCATAGCTAAGACACCGTTAGCTAAACCAGTGTCTTGGAAACCACCTAAAGCGAATCTGGCAGATAAGATAGTCCAGATAACGAAAGAAATGAACATACCGCCGATACAGAGTAAGAATAAAGTTCTTCTTCTGAAGTATTGACAGATGGAAGCAGCAATCCAAGAGATAATCAAGTTATAGATCATCAAACAACCATTAATTTCTAATTGCTTCCTTGCGTCAGTAATACCAATGGTATCTAAAACCTTAGTGAAATAGTAGGAAACTAAACCATTACCAGATAATTGCATAATAACACCCGTGAAAAGCAAGATGAATAATCTTTTTCTGTAAGTTGGAATCTTAACAAAGTCAAAGAAAGAAGAGGTTGCACAAATTTCTTCTAATTCTAAAGCAGCCTTAATTTCCTTAACTTCAAATTCAACTAATTTGTGGGCTTGTTCTGTTCCATCGTTACCACAGTGGTATTTCATTAAGATATTTCTAGCCTTGTCTTCCTTACCCTTGGAGATTAAGAATCTTGGGGATTCTGGAATCAACCAGAAAATCAAGACTTGAACAACTGGTAAAGCACCTTGTAAGTAAGATGGGATTCTCCAAGCATAAGAACTTGGAATTGGTTGAGTACCGAAAGTAACCCAAGCAGCAATAATAGCACCGAAATACCAGAAAGAGGCATATATGGCAGTACAGGTTTCTCTGAACTTTGGATAAGATAATTCGGAAATCAAAGTTGGGGAAGAAACGGTAGAAAGACCGAAACCCATACCTAAGATAATTCTGGACCAAATGAAGAAAGTATAGTTAGTGGAAACACCTTGTAAAATAGCACCTAAGATAGTGAAAGATTGACCAACGTAGATAGAAGTCTTTCTACCGAACTTATCAGAAAACCAAGAAGCAAAAATAAAAGAAATAATACCACCAAAAACACTACCGTTAGCTAAAGCACCTAAGACAGCACCTTCAGGGTGACCCATAGCATCATTCCAGTCTTCTAAAATTTGTAAACCATTCAACATAGAACCATCATAACCACTAATGGTAGAAGTTAAACTGATAATAAAAACGTAAAAATGTAAAATAAGGAAATGCTTGTACTTGTACCATGGTTTGTCAAAGTAAAGGTATTCATCAATGTCACCCTTTTCTAAGATGTGACCTTGGAGTTCAATCTGATCACTGACAGACTCTTGATCAGCGATATGTTGTTCTTTTAAATCAGACATAATGAAGCTAATTAATCTTTTCTCAAAATATTATTACCGACCAGCGATGTTGGAGATATAGATTGAAGAATTGATAATGATAAGAAAGGAGAGAAGAGAGAAAAAAATGTGAAATTAGACGATGATTTCAACTTGTATTTATATTCGATTGGTTTGTACGAAAGAGTGTCTCTCTAAGGATGTAAGTTTTATGATAATTTGCATTAATTAGTACGAAATCACAGAAAAATTGTCAAAGTTGATTTGATTGCAAACTAAAAAAATAGAATCTTTAAAAATTATAATTACAATAAAACTTTAAGATTTCGTGCATAAAAAATAATTGTACAAAGAAATTACACAAAACGATTTTTTTTTAAAAAGCTCACACTTTATTGTTCTTTTTCAAAATCCACTTGTTGATTATTATTAATAATTCGTCTCCTGCAGATCCAAGACGTTTTATTCTAGATGTATCATACAACTTTTCTTTAAGAGCACAGGAAGTCTTTTTGAAGATTTGAAAACTAATTATAAATAGTACGTGCCAAGAAACCTGTAGATTTCGCTTATTTTTCCGTTCCGCTGTTCCAATTGCTCCCGAATATGCACTAAAAAAGTTTAATTTTGCCACATCGCAAATTTGTTCTTTTGCAGCCACTAATTTCTAACGAGCAACCCCACTTTTGCAGGGGGCTAGTATGGGCTGACTGAGGCGATTTGGATGTGAAAAAATATCGAGATATTATTTTACATGTCATGTGTAATTTCTTTGTTTGGAATATAGAGAATTCTATTCCCCGGTATTTTTTGTTTGCGGGTAAAGGAATATCCACCAACCTTCAACTTAATCCCCCCTCCTTTTGATCTGCAAAAAAAAATATTATAATTTTTGCAAATTAAGTCAAGTCATCTTCCAATAATCCTAACTGAAAGCTTCTTGCATGCGCGTAGCATGGGATTGTGTAACACAATATAGCTTGTGATCTTGAGCAAGTTATTGTTGAAAACTAATTTGACAGACCACGCATAATGAAAGAAAGCGGAGACAACGGGGAAAGCAAATTGGACAAGTGACCTAGCATTCGCTTACTTGAAGCAAACAATGCAAAAGAAACCAAATATCTAAAGTTGGGATAAGATAGCGGAGTGATGTCCTAAATGGTAAACTTATCCGTTGTTCAAGCCTTACAATCCAAAAACAGATATCCTCCCAAGGCCTACACAAATCCCATTTTTAGACCTATTCAATCCTCCCTCTCTGTCGTAAAAATCACAATAATGCAAGGTACAAAACTTGAGTGCTTCTACGTTCAAGTAGAATATAGCCTCTCTAGACCAAAGTTCTCGAACAAAGATAATAAACATGTTAATTGAGGGATTAAAGTGGGGTAATCACATTCTAGTCTCGGTTAATCATGGTTGCGCAATGCAAGAATTGAAGACCCCTAAACATTCAACAAACAAATGGTCTTGCAATCCCAAAACCTTCTTTCTATAATAAATTGATAAAGTTTCACCCGACAGAATCGAACAATCGACGATACCTAAAAGGACCTAGCCTTACACCTACCCCAGCGTCTACCGATCCCATTGTTACTTCAAATCAGATTAACACTAAGAATCACTTGTGGGTAGAGCTTCCATGTACACATGTCTTGATTCAGGAAAGCCTAATCTTAGATTCCAACTGATTAAAATCAGAGAATGCTTGACAAATATTTTCTACAATCCGGATTTGTACAAATCGGATTTATACAAACCGAACAAAGGGAGGGCTGAGATAGATCGTTGTCAGTGAGCGGTTTCATTAACTAATTGGGAAGTGTCTCCCGCCCCATCCTACTACCCCACTAAAGACTATCTTTTTGATTTATGGCTTAGTAAAACTGGAGATCGAAAAAATATCTCGGAAGAAATTATAATCCCGTTTTTAGAAGCCGAACCGAAATATATAGTCTTTAGCTACACTTAAAAGAACAATCTCGGAAGAAATTGTTACTCCGTTGAAGCCGAACCGTGCATTTTAGTCTTTAGCTACACTTAAAAATATTAGTTTAGGTGGCGCTAACCTCTTTGTTAACAGGCGAGATACTGGAAGAGAATGGTCTCCTTTGACTTCTTCTTTGACAAATTCTACGAATAATTCTCGACTGATGCTGATGTTGAATTCTTAGCTAAGGACTTATTTAGGTTTCAACGCTTGAAGAATCACATTCAACTACCGTCATTTCATTGATGATCAAAGTGATTTCTTACTCGCAAAAAAAAGGATTTTTTCCATTAGTTTATCGAGCAATTAATACAATTTACCGGAATATTAATACTAGACATTCCTATGAAATTGGAAGCCTTCATATTTAAAAAGAACGACAGCAGACCCGCAACCATGAGTCTGGGCCTGCGGGGTTATTATTCTTAAATGCGATAAGTTATATGTTGGTTTAATGTGTAATTGTTTTGTTTTTGCGAGTATTGTATTGTTTTTTTATCTCAAAGATTTGCAGCCAATTCCACAACAATTTTAGTCGAAAAAGACGAAGAAATTTTGCAATAAAATTTTGTAAAATCCAATTAATTAATGACACAAAAATAATTTTTCGGAAAGTTTTTTTTTAAGATGGCTTTTATTCCAATGGTATTAAGTAAAGAAATTCATTAAAAAACATAGCCCATAAATGTTCTCTAACAATCGTTTATTGTTCCATATACATGCTTAAAAAGAGTCTCGCCTGATGAACTCTGATTGGGAATTCCAAAATTACCATTTCCAACGAAAATATCTATTATTTGCTGGGGATTTTGTGGCTCCTTTAATCAACCTTAAGGAGAGTAACGTGGCCAGGTTTGTTTACACTTTAGAGTTTATTGTTACATCAAAACTCTAATTGAAAACGGGGAAACCAAACTATATAATAAAATGAACAAACGACTCGAATTACTCAGGCATTAGTAAGCTCCAGAAGTATGATTTCTCCGTTCGGGATAATTAAAATAATCAAATTGAAATACTGGTGTTCATTTGATATACAGGTACCTTAATTTCCAGGCAAAAATGTTTAAGAAAAGAGACAAAAAGATTCGCGACAAAAAAAAAACGAATCTTCCCAAAAAGGAAATCTCCCCCTGACATGGGGGATCATCCCCAAAAACGGAAGTGATACCGAAGTGACGTTGAAAAATTTATTGATACTGGTTTGATTCCCTTGTATTTGTGGAGAAACTGACCTTGTGGGTTTCATTTCTAAAAATATAAATACCACACCAGATTCCCCTCTTTATTCACTTTCTTCTTCTTTTCCTTTTCTTTCTCCTCTATCAAAGACATCATCATCATCATTCTCATCATGACAGAATTTGACATCGACACAATCTTACAAAAACTCACTTTAGAAGAAAAAATCAGTCTTTTAGCCGGTATTGATTTCTGGCACACCAAGCCACTCCACCAACACGGTATCAAATCCTTACGATTCTCCGACGGGCCTAATGGATTACGTGGAACTCGTTTCTTCAACTCCATCCCCGCCGCTTGTTTCCCTTGTGGAACTGGATTAGCTGCTACTTTTGACAAAACCCTCTTGGAAAAAACCGGGGAATTAATGGGTGAGGAAGCATATCATAAAGGAGTGCATGTCATTTTGGGTCCTACCATGAACATCCAAAGGGGTCCATTAGGTGGTAGGGGTTTCGAGTCATTTTCGGAAGATCCATATTTGACCGGGAAAGTTGCTGGTTCGATCATTAAAGGGATTGAGAATAAGGGGATTGCTGCTACTCCAAAACATTTTGTTTGTAATGATTTGGAACATGAAAGGAATGCCAGCGATTCGAGGGTTAGTGAACGTGCATTGAGAGAGATTTATTTGGAACCATTTAGGATTGCTTTGGAAGAGGGGAATCCTCATGCTTTGATGACGGGGTATAATAAAGTGAATGGGGAACATTGTTCTCAAAATAAGAGGCTTTTGGAAGATATTGTTAGAAAAGAATGGGGTTGGAATGGTACAGTTATGTCAGATTGGTGGGGGACTTATACTACCAAGAATGCCATTGAAAATGGATTAGATATTGAAATGCCAGGTCCAACTCTTTTTAGAAGAGTTGATACTGTTTCTCATATGGTCAAAACTAAAGAATTAAACATTCAAGATCTTGACGCTAGAGTTCGTAATGTCTTAAAATTGGTCGAATACGCAAAGAAGAATGGTATTCCTGAAAAAGGCGAAGAAAACACCACCAACAACACTCCAGAAACTTCAGCATTCTTAAGAAAATTAGCTCAAGATACAATTGTCCTTCTTAAGAATGAAAACAATTTATTACCATTATCCAAATCCGATTCCATTGCTGTCATTGGTCCCAATGCCAAAATCGCCGCTTATTGCGGTGGTGGATCCGCATCCTTGAGAGCGTATTATACCACTACCCCCTATGATTCAATTGCTGCCAAACTTGACTCCGCTCCAAAATATACCGTGGGTGCATATGCTCATAACTTATTACCTGGCATGGCACCACAATTAATCAACCCTAAGACCAAATCCAAGGGATACAATCTTAAATTTTATCTCGAACCTCCAGGAACTGCCAATAGAACTTTAATCGATGAATATGATCTCGATCTTTCATATCTCCATTTTCCCGATTTTTATAATCCAAAAGTCAAGGATGATTTATTCTATATTGATTTCGAAGGTGAATTTACTCCAGATGCTGATGGTGATTATGAATTCGGGGTGGCTGTTGTTGGAACTGCTCAGCTCTTCATTGATGGGAAATTAATCGTTGATAATAAGACCAAACAACGTTTCGGTAATACTTTTTTCAATTCCGGTACGGTTGAAGAAAAGGGGATTGTTGAATTGGAAAAGAATAAAACTTACAAAATCAGAGTTGAATTCGGTTCTGGTCCAACATTTACAATCAAATCTGAGTCGGCGGAATATTTCGGTGGTGGGGTGAATTTAGGTCTTGCGAAATGTATTGATGAAGATGAAGAAATCGCCAAAGCCGTAGAATTAGCTAAGGGGGTTGATAAAGTCGTCTTATCAATTGGATTAAATCTGGAATGGGAAGCTGAATCATTTGATCGTCCACATATGAAACTTGAAGGATTACAAGACAAATTAGTCGAAGCTGTTTTGGAAGCTAATCCAAATACCATTATTGTGAATCAATCCGGTACCCCTGTTGAATTTCCTTGGTTAGATAAGGCCCCAGCATTGGTTCATGCATGGTATGGTGGGAATGAAGGTGGTAATGCGATTGCTGATGTTTTGTTTGGCGATGCTAATCCAAGTGGGAAATTAACTTTGAGTTTCCCTAAGAAGAATGTTGATAATCCTGCATATCTCAATTTCAAGACTGAAAGAGGTAGGGTTTTGTATGGGGAAGATATTTTTGTTGGTTATAGGTTTTATGAAAAGATGGAAAGAGATGTTGCATTCCCATTTGGTTTTGGTTTGTCTTATTCAAAGTTTGATATTTCCAATTTAACCATGTTAATTAATGAACCAGAAAATAAACTTGTTGTTTCTGTTGATGTTAAGAACGTTGGGAAGGTTGCTGGTTCGGAAGTTGTTCAAGCATATATTTCTAAATCTGATTCTGATGTTATTCGTCCAGTGAAGGAACTTAAAGGGTTTGAAAAGGTTCATTTAAGAGCTGGTGAAAAGAAGAAGGTTGAGATTGAATTGTCGATCAAGAATTCTGTTTCTTTCTGGGATGAATATATGGATAAATGGTCCGTTCAAGCTGGTGAGTATAATGTTCATGTTGGAAATAGTAGTGACAATACTCCATTGGTTGGTAAGTTTGATCTTAAGAAGAGTTTCTTCTGGAGAGGTAATTAGATGTATCACCTTTGATTAGTTTGTTTTAGATATTTAGTTTACTTAGAATTATGATCGTATAAAATATATATTTATGCTAATTTTTACAATTTGTAAAACGTCTTATAGATATAAGTGTCAAGTTTTCACTCTTATTACACATGGAATTGCTTCAGCTTCCAATTATCGGAATCGATAATCTTTATAGTTATTGTAGTATAGAAACCTTCTAGGGTGTACCAACAACCAGAAAAATGAATGTTTCCTCGACAATGGAATTTCCCAAGAATGAATGGATTTCGGTATAAGTATGCGAATGATACAATAAGGGAAAATTCCATTACAAGATTTAGAATTACAGAGCCAATATAATTGCAAATTAATATTGCTTCGATTTCGGTGTAAAATGTCAGGAAGGGTGATTATTATAAACTTACCGAAATTCCCAGTTTATAGATTATTTATGTATTGTATTAGGAATTATCGAAATAAATGAGAACTTACGTGAATTAGAAATCGATCAATCTATTGAATTGAGTCACATCCTCTTCCTTACTATCATAAATAACCGTGATAGAGCATATCAGTGGATAACTCCCTTTCCCAATAAGCTTAAATTAAACTTTGAAGTGTGTGAGTTTATGAGAAAAGATAGATTCACCCCCTTTTATAATTGTCCAAGTGGTGAAACTATTGCTGGGAAACATGTGGTAAGCTGGTAGTGATGTTTCATCCGTTATAATCTTTGGCTCTATATTTAAAGCTTTAAGATAATTTTTGTCGGATGCTACACCCCAGAATTGTATCTCAATTCCAACAATTATTATTTAATTGGATTTTATAAAATTCTACTGCAAAATTTTTTCATCTTTTTCGACCAAAATTGTTGTGAAATTGGCTGCAAATTTTTGAGATAAAAAGAAGATTTAATACTCACAAAAACATAACAATTACACATTAAACCAACATACAACATATCGTATTTAAGCTATAATGACCCTGTAGACCCAAATTTATGGTTCCTGGCTTGTTGTTTTTCTTTTTAAATACAAATGCTTCGAACTTCATAGGAATTTCTAATATTAATATTCCAGTAAAGCTGTACGAATTTGCTCGATAAATCAATGGAAAAAAATCATTTTTTTTTCTGTTTTTCGCGAGTGCCACTGTAAGAGCCCTCTTGTCAATATTCTCCTAATTTGCAGAAAAACAAAAACTCTCTACATCAGGTGATTTAGAAAACAATTTTCTTCTTCCTTTAAACTATGAGCCAGATTATAACTCCTCAATCGGGCCAAACCATGGACTCGTCGCCAAACCATCACCAACTGATTACTGATCCAGATTAGGAACAATTGAGTGCTGATGCAAATATTGATCAATATGAAGAAGAAAAGAATATGATGGCTGAAATTGTTGCTCTTGAAGAAGAATGCAAACCTATTTTCAAAATGAATAATTAACGGTGAAGTTGTTTCATATTGTATTCATTTTTGTTGTTGCTGCTTGTTTCTCTCTTACTTAAGTGGAGCCTAAGTATTTTTCAGGGTTCGCTTTTTTTACAACCACATTATCTTTCTTCAACAAATATCTAGAGAAATTGGATGTAATTCTACTATAGATGTAGAACTTCTAGCACTTTAGAATGACTCTTGTGCTTCCCATTGAGAGAAGGTTCTGTAAATAGTTGGAATTTCGTTGGTTTCATAGGTTTGTTAGAGGATGTCTTCCCCAGTTGCTACGATGTTGGAAACCAGAAGTCTGCACATGGAAAACCAGAGGTCTGTCTATAACCATGACATACCAATCAATGCTTTGATAAAAATTGCATATTTATTAAACATGTCTAAAATCATACATAAATCTAAAACCATGCAACACCACAAGAAAACCAATAAGAATTCTATATTCCAGAAGAGAATTCTGGGCGTAAATAATCTGAAATACTAAGCATAAGAATGACAAGAAGTTAGTTGTGATAGATTCGTTCAAAATAAAGGAATTGAATGCTTTCCCCGTCGAATTTGAGCTTTTCTTTGAGAGCATTTTTATCAGGTATGTTCATTGAAATGGAGACTACCTGATGTGTTTTGAACTTACTTTTTAATTTAGAGAAGACTTCAATTCATTGAACCCAGCACTTGGATGTGCTCGTGGTTCAGAGAAGTCTCATTGTGGAGATACTTACTTCAAGATGTGTACGCGATCTTTTCGGGCCCTAAATACCATTTAACGCCCGTTATTAAGAGCACGTTATTAGATCAAGTACTCCAATGAAAGCAAGTTTCAAGCTAAAAAGTTTAAACTAAAGGATTCAAGAAATTTTTAGTCCAATCGAAAAATGGAAGAATTTTGGACAGAAAAAAAGGTAATTGTTCACCAGATTGGCTTTTTTGTTAGAGAGCAAACATCCAACCTTACATACAAACGTTTTTTAGTTAAGAATAAAGAACCCATTTGTTGAACAATCTGGTGAATAAAATTTTGAGATAAAAAGACAATCTAATATCACAAAAACATAACAATAACACATTAAGCCAGTATATAACATATCCTCTTTAAGTTGGAATAACTCCGCAGATCAA